CCTGATCCTGTGCAGTTTATCTACGTATAAATTGATTCTGGGGACATCTTCTCTCCACAGTCTCACCTTTCTTTTCAAGCAAAGAGGTGGCCTTGGTGGGGCCGGACACCTAGTACAACAGCTCCTGTCTCCAATAGACTGATGGTCAAAATAGGAAAAGCAGATGTGCAACTGAGACACTTCAAGGGCTCGCTTGTGCCAGGATAGACCCTTGGGTAGAAGTGAAGTTGGAATAGGGCTGAGAAGGACAAGGGTAGCCCTGAGAACAGAGGAGATGAGGTTGAAGTGAATAAATTGCAAAGGAAGACTGTGGTGCTAACAGCCAGTTCACAAAGAGGTAGGGAGCAGAAACAGCCCCAAAACCTTATAGAGCCCCGTTGTGCACAGAAAAGGGAGGAATGAAAAGGACCGACATCTCTTAGTGCATTCTATCCTTGCTAAATCCAGGTTCAAGAACAACAAAACAGTGTGAAGAAGCTTTCAGCGACAGCCGCTGCTGCCATGACACCTGTCTCCCAAAACAGCATTTCTTCACGCTCCAGCAGCCTTATGGACAATTTTGGGTTTCAGTGAAAGAAGAGAGAGAAGTTTTAACTCTTCAAGAAGAAAAATCTGAAAGTATCACCTTTAAGATAATACTGTATGTTAAAAGATCAACTGAACAAGGTCTCCTAGAAGCCATGCTGCAAAGTTAAAGGTTTCTCTCTCTGGTAGTGTGGTAACAGAGGGGAAAGGATAGTGCAGTCCTGAGATCTGGAAAGGAAAACAGGGCATAGGGATGTAAAGCTAATAGAATAAAAAGTAAAAGCCAAGGCTGCCACATACACTAAGGCCTGTATTGACAGAGCAAGCAGTGCCCCATACAAGAGAAAAGACGATAGGCAAACACAGCTGCTTCCCCACTCTAAGATAAGCAGAAGACATGGTATAGAAATCTCCTACCACCAAAGAAATTAGGATGGAGGAAAAAAACAGACAAGCAAAGCAGTGAACATGAGTGGGCAGGAGATCTGGTTCCCTCCCCTCCATAACACAGGTGTAGAAACACTGCGAAAGAACAAACAAACAATGTGCCAGCCTTGATGTCCAGAGAGAAAATACTCTGAGGTAGGTAGATTTGTTTTCCCATCTCCACTTAGAACTAGCACAGAGGCGTTGGTGCTGGTAGATAATGCCTCAAAAGCCAAGATCCAGCAGAACATGAGGACAGAAAAGGTGCTCTTACCTTTCAGTTGTCCTCTAGAAGAGTAGCTTTTGATGCTGATGGCTGGCTTATCATCCCTGCTGCTCCTGGGACAAGAAGTGCAAAGGAGAAGAGTTGCTACCTGCATCTAAAATTAGACAAGTAATTGTTTAGGTATCTGCTTCCTTCATGTAAGAAAACCCATCACCTCAGCCTGGTTTCCCTATCCATGACACGTTCAACTCAAGTGCTAATCCAAATTAAGATAGTTATTGCCATGAAAAATTAACCCAAAGAACATCCCTCTGTTTTGAAATTTGTCAGGACTAAACTGAGTACATCAGAGTTACTGACATGCACGTATTGGCTTGAGAAACCTGGAAACAGGCCAACGTGCACTGGACCTGTGAAGGAACCCAACGAGCCTTTCCCTCTTCAGGGCACTTTGTAAGATGCAGCATTTTTGCCACATTTCCTACAGAAACTGAGCAATCAATTCAGAAAACACTCAATCACAACATCCCAGCATCACATAGATGGTGGAAGAACACTCCTTAGATACCGAAATTGTGAGTTATCTGAGGTAGTCAACCACTGAAGCAACCAGTGATTTAAAATAACTGTGAAAGCTAAGATGAAAAAAACCTCAACCCAGCCCAAGTTCTCTTCTTGATTGCAAGATAAACTGACCTGCCACCAGTCAAATACCTTGCCATTCTCAAATCAAGCACGCACCCACCATTATCCAGCTCACTGTAGCCTTCAAAGAAAAAAGAAAAAACAAACACAAACCAAAAAAACCCCAACTTGCTCAGCTCTGGCAAATTCTCCTTCCCTTTAATCAGACTGCATATTGCCGATGCGCTTCTCCTCACAGTGGCAATTAGCGGAGCTCACATTCACAGCATCACTACCTGTCCTTCACAGCACATTTACGCTCGTGTATGGATAGCCTCTTCCTGTTGAATCCAATGGTTTCCAGGTGAACGAACAGCTCCACAGCAAAGTATTTTCACCAGTCCCCGTCCTCTAGAGGCTCATTTCATTTCAGGGATTTTAATTCTGATCCTGCTTATTCTCCTAGGTTGATGTGCATGTCAGGTTTCTATTAATCACATTTTAACCTCCTCCTTCCATGTGCTATGCTACTTCATTTAAAATTGCTTCTTCTCCATATCTTTTTAGTTCACGTCTTCTTCACTTCTTACCTTCAATTTCTAAATATCTAGATCTTATTTTTCCAAGCACTTCCATTTCCCAATATTTTTTTTTTGTGTTGAGAAGTACTGTTACTGAACAACTCCTTCCTGCCCTCTGTGCATATGCAAACAGAATACAATACTAAATCATGTTAATAAATTATAGGACTTGTAAAAACACAGCTTACTTCCCAGCCTACAACAGTTTACTGCAAAGCCATTTTCCCCAATTGTAGACAACATAATTACACACACATATACACACCTCCTCTCAGGCATTCATTTGGCTGCCAGCCTGTTAAATGCCTACGTTCTAGGAGCGAACATTAGAAAGGCAATACTTTAAGTCATTACGTGAGCATTAAAAGGCATATTTGTATTTTGGATCGTACTTTATTGTATTCAGAAGCTGCTGGAAATATTTTCCCAAATTACATGCTATAAGAGCTCTAAACTTAAAAATGTGTGAAAATTATAGTTCCTCGCCCCATCCCAATCCAACTTGTAAAGTAAACTTATTGACAATGTAGTCTTCTCTAGAAATAGAGACTCTTTCAGTGTGTGGATGGGGAGGTCTTTTTTTTAAAAGGAAAGGGAAAGCTCACACCAGTGATAAATTTGATCAGTAAAAGTACTTTTATTCTTTTTTTTTTTTTTTTTAAATAGAAGGGCTTATACAATTGAGTATAAAGATATTTGAAGAACATGGAAATGAAATGAAAAAGTATCTGGAGGGAATTCTTTTTATTGAGGAAGAGTTTACATATCTAAGTTTAAGTATTCACCTACTTTTTGCTGCCTCCTGTTAACAGGCATAATGAAAATATTGCACGGAGCATATGCATGGAAAAACACAGCTATTAAAGCAAGAAATATGGTAAATACATTTCGTACAACCTTAAAATAATTCAAACAATCATACAACAAATTCTGAAGCACTTCTGTGATCGGCAATCTTAAGATGATGTTCACTGTTCTGAAGTGTTTACAAATTGACACTTTTTTGTAGAAAGACTTTGTACTGGTTAATAAAACTACAGCCTTAAAATTGTTGGCTTTCAGTTACAGAGGTAACAGAGAGGTATTATCTGAATTCACATCAGAGCTTTTGAAAAAAATAAATGGCAGCAGTACAAGCATGTTCCTCCTCCAGTGTCCAAAACTCTTTGTGGCTTTGCCATGGCCAAGGAATAGAGCTACGCAGCTCAACAAAGCACCCAGTCTCCCCAAATACTTTGAGACAGTCTGGCATCCCTTGTTTATTGATATAATGCTCTGCTAAACATAAAATGAAGCAGAAGAACCTCAACTAACCAAGAGAAGTTCCCAATCAGTCTGTCAATATTGACTGCACCTGGGAAGTTATTAAGAAAAGAGGAAAATACCTTTATTTGACCAACCCATAAAGTAAATTTATAGAAATGCTGCTCTGAAGATGGGAGAGAAAGAAGTTTCCGTAACATACGTTGAGCCCACAGTAGAAATAAAGTGTTACAGATGATTTGTTCAGGGATGATGCAAGTCAGATTGAAGACACAAACCACAGCAGTTCCAACCCGTTTTCCACAAGAGCTCACTCCGAACAAAGGTCTATTTACAACAGTTTTCAACTGCTCGTGGAAAAGCTACCCCAGATGTTTCAAACATCACTGTTGCTTTGATTCACTCTATGCACACTCTGGGTCCATTTCAGAAACACCTTGAATAAATGCTGGAGCATAATGGACATGAGTAGCCTGTCTCCAATACTAAAATTATGATCAGTGGACGAGAAGCTTTCGCACACTTCAACATTTTATATCGCTCAGGCACTGAGGATCAATTATCTTCAGCACAGGAATTTTCAACGCTAGGTTTTTGCTAGATTTGCTCTCTGTTCCTCCCACATGTGAACAATTGGGCTACATTTTATCCTTTCACTTTGTTATAATCTGAATTTATTTACATACAAAACAAGAGACAGAAGAAAGTTCTCTTATATTAACCCAACAATGGGCACCTTCACCTTGCAATAAGGACGCCTTAGACAAGGCAGCTGCATTTATTTTAGGAGCATGTATAAAATTCAGTGTGCCAGCATCAGAGACAAGAATGTCAGATCACACAATGCCAATACATTCTGGTGGGACCTCGACTATTAGGTGCAAAAAAACCCCAAAGCCAAAGCACCAAAAACACCCCCAAAACTTTGCACAACTTTTGTTTAGAACGCTACGCAATTAATAAATTACATCCTTCTGGGACAGTGTTGCTTTTACTCCTACATCTCAAAGAAATTCCAGGCTAATTAATTAGAGCAAGAAATTACATTGAGCAGGATATTTTAAATGAAAGAAATTACTTAGAAACACCAATCAAAGATAATTTGATTATGATTAGCTGTGCTGAAGTCAAAGTCATTAAAACTGATGAAGAATGTTTTTACACTGCTCTATTCTATGTAATCCATTACCTACGCTATGCTCTGTAGTTCAAGTCTAACAAATGGTATCTGATAATTCAATACTGAAGACTAAAATGCTTTCAATGTACCACTTGCCTTCCTACACCAACATGTTTCCAATAAAAAAAAAAAAAAATCAGTAGCAAGTAGATTTGCAAACTTATTCACCGGGAGAACTTTAGCTTACATGAAATACCGTAGTTCAAATGGTATCTGATTATTCAATAATTATCTGATTATTCAATAATTATCAAATTATCTGATAATTCAATACTGAAGACTAAAATGCTTTCAATGTACCACTTGCCTTCCTACACCAACATGTTTCCAATAAAAAAAAAAAAAATCAGTAGCAAGTAGATTTGCAAACTTATTCACCGGGAGAACTTTAGCTTACATGAAATACCATTCAGATTTTTACCTGCTCGCCTTCTACATAGTCATGTTTAAATATGGCTGCTGCTTTATTTTGAACAGTCATTACCCACAAAAAGTTACAACCATGGTTTGGTAAGAAATCATTCCCTGTGCTTTCTAACAACTGAGGCCTGCCCAAAGGTACAACATTTCTTTCCATGCTCTCAGCTGAAGTGACGAGCAAGACGAGCAGACCTATAATCAACACGCAGCTGAACAAAGGAGTGAAGGATGTTCTTGTCCAGGTTAGCAAGTTGTTCTCCTGAGCAAACTTGCTTTAAATTATCCGGAGCTACAACCAGAAGATTGCAAAGTGCATGCAAAGTATCAAAGAGCTGTAACACCAGCGCAATCTGTGGTTGAGAGAAAAACAGAGAAAGACAGATATTAAGTTAGAGTTGCTTGAACTCTTATGACACAATGTCCACCTAGATTCTCAAAATACTTTCTCCCTACAGAAGATTTACACGCATCATTCTCTCCTCGTGTGTGCATAAATATGTATAGACACGCGCACTTACACATCTGTGGGGAGATACGCATGCAAAGTTATACACAGAACAGAATAATACGAACTCAATGCTTCTTCAATATACACACACAGCCTACAAGCAATAAAATGGTATCAAGAAACTGGTCTTTAGGACACGCTGGTATAAAGAACTGCTAGTATAGTAACCGAATATATAACATCAGTATATAAAATGGTGATGTTCAAACAGAAACAAACTATTTTTATGAAGAAAAAACATCTGATTAAAAATAGAGAGTCCTGATACTAATTTCAACATGGCTGTACATCACCAACGTGTACGTGCTTACCTTGAAGTCTTTGGCACACTTCCTATATTCAGCCACATCACAAATAGCTAACATGCCTCCCATGCAACTGTAGGAATATTGCTGAAGGTGTTCATAGATAAGTCGATGAAAACGAACTCCAAGCTCCATCAAAACTGTGTCCACATTCTTACCATCCATAGAATTTCTAATCTTTTCCACCTGCTTTCTAACATAGCCACAGACTTTAACACAAGCCTAACAAAAAAAAAAAATAAAATTAGGTAACTTACTTTCTAGAAATGCATTCTTCTTGAAGTGGCTTCCATATCATAAGCTGAACATCAGTCACTAAGTCTTTACACTTCCCACAACACATCACTGACACTAGTCTTTTTCAAATTAGTAATTTTCTAACAGTTTTAATTTGCTACATAAAGATAAAAAATGCGAGTAGAAAGATGGATGCAAGACAATATTCAATTAAGTTATAGTTCATATCAGGCCAGAATAGAACAGTTTAATTTGGGCTTTTAATTCAAACAATGATCAACCAAGCTCTGTGTGCGTGGGGATGTGATTAAAACTCTCATCAGCTGCAATTATAAACCCTAACTAACAGCCATGCCACGTAGTACAAGACTCTGTGTCCTACTGCTCCACTTCACAGAATCATAGAATGGCCTGGGTTGGAAGGGACCTCAAAGCCCATCCAGTTCCGGCCCCCTGCCATGGGCAGGGACACCCTCCACCAGCCCAGGTTGC